CCTATGTTCTACCTGTACGTTATCACACTTGCTTCTATGCTATCGATAAAGAGCCATTGCTCGAAACGTCTAGCTATTTTTAATAGTTATTTAGGACTAAGATTACCAAATATTATCTTCAATATATCATACCAGAGGTACATTACTTGGGGTTTGTAACTACGGTGACATGATACCAAGATCCCGTCACAATCTCGCTCTCGCATAAACGTTCCAACTCAGAAAAAATGCGAATGCGCATGCCCGAGGTAACTAGGATACTGGGATGTCCAGGTGGATCAAAATAGCTGCCCACGATATGACGGATTACGAGAACTATATTTTCAGTACATTTTCGATGTATTACATTTTTCACTATGATAGTGACAAGAAAAGTTTATTTTTTTCATTACAAACCTTGAACATTGATATGCGTCATGTCAGAAGGTCGTAGCCTCAGTCTCGCTATCTACGAGAAGAGACTTGAATGGGATCTTGACATGATGTCACCATACAGTACTATGCGAGTTGCAAACCTCAAGTAATGTACCTCTGATCATACTTATCAGTCCGAGCAGCGTTTATTTTTTTATTTATTTATTTTTTTATTTTTTTATAAACTACTATTACTCAGGAAGCATGATTGATGTTTGTAAATGTAACTTTGACCCATTCTGTCAGTGTGTCAGATTCAACGTTCTCCTGTTTAGCCCATTGGCATACTCAACAACAGAGTACGGAATGATTTTATGAAGCCATTACCTTAGAAACTTATTTTAGCCTTGCATATGTAAATGTCCCCGGCATTACAGCAATTCTGCAATTGAGTCACTATTGATCGCATGCTGGCATAAGGCTACTGCACACCCAAAAACACATACATTTGTTTCTTACTTACTTCTTGAGAGATATGTTCCTAGACACAGGCCTGCATAGATTAAGCTTGTCCACGGTAGAACAGAGAATACCAAACTTTATACACACTGATTAGTTTCTAACATTTCTCTAAGAACCTATAATGTTGTTTTACCACTGTTGCCTTCATTCTCAGTATAAACTATAAACATTTTGATCTAGAGTTAGTATTTTTGTTAAGCAGACAGAGTTTTCATTGAAATGGCAATCCCATTTAATTTACTATTAGTAGGTCAATCTTTTTAATCTTTGCAGCAATATTTCACTCTCTTCTTTCTATGGGTATACAATTCCTAGATCAGTTGTAGTGGTACGTAAGCCAAACTGTTGAAAACAAATTGTCTTCTTTCATCAAAACTAGAGTACCAAGTGTTTTGTAGTAGAACAAGGTAAATAATCAAACTTTTACACAAATTATCTTGCACAGATTTATACTGAAACAATTTGATTACGCTCACTCTTTTCAAAATACTTGACATTCCTTCATGTACACCATGGAATCCATATTATCTTGCTCTTACTGATTTGACTATAGTGTCGTGTACTTGTCAATGTTGTTTCCACTTTACTTTCAAATATTACATGGTGATTTATCATACAATAGTTAAATATTTCTTCAAATAAAAAGAAAGAAATACATTTCATTCCGTTTAAAAAGTAATTAAATGACGGGTTCAAGTTTAAGTAAAGAATTAACCTGTCTGTTGGACATAATTACTGTCTGTCTGTCTGTCTTGCTTAATTAATTTTTACCCGCGCCTTTAGTTCGTCAGTTGGACTATTAGATATTACATGGGGGTGCTAGTATCGTTCAAGTTTAGGTGAAATTAGTTAAAATAATGCTTTGTAAGCTCCCATATTTTCTTAATTTTCAAAAATCGTACCCAGAGTACGAAGATGAGCCATCTATAATTTTTTACTTTTGTCACCATCATTATTCTCCTGAAAAAATACTATTCGAAAAATATACTGTAATACATC